CATCATTTGAACTTCTGCGTACCATTTTTTATCCCCCTCTCACACTCTTTGCAGCCTTTCGCTCATTTTTTTTGTTCAGCCATGGCTCGTTCTACCCGCACATCTACCCTCAAGGCTACTGCTGCTGTTCCAATTGAAGTGGAACCAACGTCGTCAGGCCGCCAGCGTACGCTGTCTGCAAAGCAACAACAAATAGGTCAGTTTCTTCATTCATATATTACACCATTACATGACTGACTTCACATTGGGCATATAGAAATCTGCGTGCCACTTGTGGTCGCCCGTTCGCAGGTGACCGCAAGCGTCTCGCAGATAATCAGAAAGGATCGCAGGTGTTGCAGGTGTCACACAGATGTCTAACAGCACTTCGTCAATTCAAATCAAAAGAAATGTAATCTTAAATTGAGAACTCGAAGTGTGCGCTACTGCGAGTACATATGCCATACAAGTCCGGAATACGTTGTTCTACACTAGAGTTTTGGTTCTTTTTCCTTTTACTTTCTCTGATATTTACTTATGCCAACTCGCAATTTGACCGCAGGTGGTTCGCAAATATCTATTTTGTGCGCAGATGCTCGCAAATGTGTCTCGCAGGTGTATCGCAAGTGATGCGCAAGTTGCACGCAGGTGTACGCAAGTCTCGCAATGGGCACTAATTATTGCAACTGTATCTTAAATGTGTCGCAGGTGTGTCGCAGATGCATCTCAAGTGTACCGCAAGCTGAACGCAAGTGTATCGCAGGAGGAACGCAGGCATGCCATTGAGTCCACACATATTTGCCGAATGTCAAAAAACCCCACCTTCAAGATGTATAGCGAGGCGGAGATCCTTCACAGGGCATGGGACGTTTGGATCCCTCGTTTGGTGTGGAATCAAATTGGGATGGGAAGAAGAGAGCGGGGAGTGAGTCTGAACAAGAGGTGAGACTGACATTGACTAATTTCGATCTAGTTCAGACCTAAGTACATTGACTTTACGGAACCAGCCCTAGTCACAAGTCTCAAGAAAAAAACTCAACCACAACCGCGTCCATTAAAGCAGAAAAAGGCTGACTAGTAGTCATGGCCTCAGACAAAAATTGTACCTTTCTGCCTAAAAATGGTTTTAGTACAGACCTATAGGCACGAACTAACGTGTTCCAAAAGAACCAGAGAAATTTATACACGTTAAACTAGAAGGATAATCATGGTGCTCAAGAAAATACGAAGAAATACTTGAGAAATACCAAAGAAATATGGCATCTCAGCGAGGTACACTGATGCTCGCAGATGCCCGCAGATGCTCAGCTCAATAACTTCGATCTGCGCGCAACCGGATT